ACTGAACATACGAGAAATTCAAATGGTGACGTTTGTGTTATTTTGGGGATGATAGCAAGGTATGACTGGCAGTTAGCCGAGTAACAACAGTTGAGTTAATCTCCAAATGGTTCAGCCATTTGATAGTGATCATACGAGATAGTGACAGTGATCATACGTGATAGTGATCATACGTGATAGTGATCATACGTGATAGTGATCATACGTGATAGTGATCATACGTGACATACGAGAAATTCAAATGGTGACGTTTGTGTTATTTTGGGGATGATAGCAAGGTATGACTGGCAGTTAGCCGAGTAACAACAGTTGAGTTAATCTCCAAATGGTTCAGCCATTTGATGGTGATCATACGTGATAGTGATCATACGTGATAGTGATCATACGTGACATACGAGAAATTCAAATGGTGACGTTTGTGTTATTTTGGGGATGATAGCAAGGTATGACTGGCAATTAGCCGAGTAACAACAGTTGAGTTAATGTCCAAATGGTTCAGCCATTTGATAGTGATCTAATTTTTCTTATTCTTTCTAAAACAGACAGCAATATCTCAGATGGAGAACGAACTCAAGCAGCGGGCACAGGAAGTTCGAGATAGGGACAAAGAGGTTCGTTCTTTTGACGTCAACTTTTCTCAAACGAAATAAAAATTTGGCTAAGATCTCGTATAGGAGCTGCAGTAAGTCAATCTCGATGCATTTTATATGATCTGCCGAAAATACTCAAGTACTTTTTACTGATCTTAAAGCTACAATTTGGTTAAGAATTAGTTCACACATAATAGTCAAGCAGTTGTGTTTTGTTTTGTCTGTAAGGAAGTAAATTTAATTGTTCCTTTGATTTACTGAGTAAACTTTGAATGAACTATTGCATCTGCCGTGTTTTAAAATATGCTCCTAGTTGGATTTTTTGTTTGAAATTGTGTGTTATTTATGTCATCAGTGTTTTATATTCACATACAGATTCGGGAGTATGAAGAATACTTAGATCGACGCCATGCCGTCTGCAACGGCAAAGAGGAAGATTTAAACGTTCTTCAAAACGTAAGTAGTCATTTTCGTTTTGTCACATTTTTGTGGCAATGCCCGCTCTGTCGTAATGCGTGTGAAAACTCTGGGATTATCATAAAGAGGAGAAGATTACGGGAAGTTCAGGCAGGTGGGAGACGCGCCGGGACCATAGAACTTGTTATGAAGTTACAAGCGTACAGTATGAAGATGCTTTTGATTGTGTTGCGAGATTCCACAGTGTCGGTGTGGTTATGTGCATGGGTAGTGTTTGGAAAAGATCTCAAATTATTTTGTGCTTATAAATTATTGCGAAGAAGCGATGAATAATTAGGTACATATTGGTTCGTCGAGCAAGAATGGCAAAGAAACAGAATAACCACTTTTAGTCGCGATATTTTACAGAAGCCATTAAACCATGCGCGCTCACGAAGACGAGTGAAACCGAACAGTTTTTGTACATTGTAACATTCCGTTTGTTCTTTCAAAATAAAGTTTGGAAGATTCATCCATATTTTGACGCGTTTTCAATAAAAAACAATTATTCCACTAGCGCCATTTGGATATGAGATGATTAGCGTCAACATCATCTTATATCCAACGCGCGCTCGTGGACAAATTGTGAATTGGTTGGGTACGATAGAAATTCACAAAAAAAAGTGTTGTAAAAACCAAGAGGGAACAAGCGTGGAGGGAGTTCAAACATACCGGTATTACAAACGACAAACTTCAAATACTGGAATAAATGCTTTAAGATGCTTTTTTCGGCAGTGACCATCTTGAAGCTGATGAACCACGCCTTATGTTAATTCCAGAAGAGTGTCTAATAGCTAGCTGGCTTCTAAATTGCATTTGACTGTAGCAGATGAACGTTATGTTATTTTTTGTTCTAGGAATTGGATACCCTGTCCAAGGAACTAGAGTCCAAAAAGACAAAGTTAATTAACAAGCATCATCTTGTACATCAAAGCTCCGAGGAAAGCATTGTGGTGTCAACACCTCCCATGAGAGTTAGGTATGAACCTAGAAGAGATTGATGTGAGATGAATTTGAAAGCCTCATTTCGGTGTGTCTGGAGGAGATATGTCGTCAGGGCGTTCACCATTAGTGAAGGCTTGCTGGCTAGGCCGCTGTATTCATGAAAAAGAATTTTGTCTTAATACGGAACTAAGATTGTCTGTCATTTCCTAAATTACATCCATTATTTGATGGACTGTTTTTTTAAAATGAGAGTAAAACGTTGGAAATAGGATGTAGTGGCTGGATCTAGTTTGATCCAGTATGATAGGAAATACAGGCCTGTATGCCTTCTGTCCTTGCTGTAACATCCATTTCTTCAGGTGTCGCACCGCCTATCCATGCACATTTTGTAGAGACATTTCGTTTAGTGGAGACGGGTGAAACGGAGGGCAAACGACGCTCAGTAGATGTAAGGAAAAACAACACCAATTGATCCGTCATTTTCCACTTCTTCTTTTGTGAGCTTGTCTCCACTAAGCGGGAGTCTGGTACCGACTCCCTGTTCCTGCCTTTACACTGTCAACGTAACGAAACCAAGGTATAACTTTAATTTTCCTCCCCCCCTACTTTCTAGGAGTACCAGTCGAGGGAGCGTCTCAAGTAAAGGAGTAGATTTGAGGATAGATGAATTAAAATATCAAAATCGACAATTGCTGGAGGAACTGTTTGGTCTGAAGAAAAGCTGTGAGAGTAAAGACGATGAACTTAACGAATTGAAAGAAAAGGTAACCAAAGTAATTCTCTGTAATGTACTTTGCTTACGCATTGTTTCAGCTCTATTTTTTTCTAATTGAGGTCATGGATTTATTGCAGTTGGAAGCTTCCGAAAGTGAAAACAAACGCCTACAGCAGAGAACGAAGCACTTGGAAACACAGTTAGACCTGGCCAGAAAGTCAGCCGAGTTGGGTGCAGACAGTGTCTCAGTGGACGAGATAATGCGGAAGACCACTCAAGACATGCGCAGTGCGCGGAACTCCCGGATTATCCGCCCCTCTCGGTCGGTAGCTCCGGCCCCGGGGTCGTCGACTTCAACATCCGCGGGTGTAAGGCTCCGCCGGTTTTCTTCGAACGATTCAGTCGGAACCAAAAACACCAGTAGCTCTGACTCAGGAAAGGGAACCAAAGAGTCAGCAGCGAAAAGCTACAAAGGGTCGTTGGGTAAGAAAGCTAAAGAAAACAGCGATGAAAGGCACAAGATGGGAACAGAGAGAATCACCAGCGCTTTTTGTGCTGTCATGTAAGCGCTGCTGTGGTAGTTACCATAACCAATTTAGAATGTGGAAGCCAGTTAAATTATCAATTCGAGATAAATTTAAATCATACCACATTCTAAGTTTGAGTTACTTTGGAATCATTTTCGAGTTCGCAGTTAACAATTGCACACACCCCGCACATGTAACTTGACTTTTCTTCGTTACACTGAAGAGGTTAACTTTTTATTCAGTGATTTGAATGCCCGTTTAAAATCTACAAATCATACATGCATTACATCATCAAACCGTTTCACTCCCAAGAACTAATTAGTAATTCTACCATCATTTCCTTGTAAACTAGTCAGAATTAATTTTGCTGTTTCATTAACACTCGTGAACAAGTTCGTTCATTCTCGTCATCTTACCAGACAATCTATTGATGCTGATAGAGTTATATTTTGATAATGGCACCATACAGATTCCTGTAGATGTCTATCCTTTTTTTACCTTAGTCTTGAATGATTTTGTCGTATTCTCGACAGCGGACGTTAGTAGGCCATCAAAAAGACAAGGTACCAACCTCTGATAACTTTTTGCTACAGCTTCATTGCTTCAGTGTGGAATAACCCTGATCGTTCATAAAATTATTTGTAAAATTGTGACCAGATTTAATTTGACGATTTGGTATCTACGGTATCATTTTTACCAAGAAATTCTCCCAAATCGACCACAAGATTGTATGTGAAATCATGACCAGGTCAACAATGATTTTGGATCTAATATTGGCTGTTTTAAACAAAAATCATCCAAGAGTATTTATTACCAGGGTTTTGTACATATTTGCAGGACAATTATTACTTGACAATAGCATGTGACTCGGGAATAGAATCTTTCTTACGACGATACTATGAAAAATCGTGATAAAATATTTAAAAGTTTACCAGAACTATTTTTGAAACAAGTATATTTTGTACTTCCAATAGTGGCTGTAAAGAGACCGTCATGAATATTTATTGAGAAAAACCCCATTTGTGGGTATTTTATTTTTTGTTATGAATAAAAACAGGCTTTGAAAATAGTAATTTTAAAGTGTTGTGTTTCGTTTAACAAGGCGAAAGGAATGGTGGCATATCGTGAAAAAAGGTGACATTGCCACTATTTCAATCAGACTACCTGAACGAAATAAACAACTGTCGTTTTGGGAGGCGAGCAATGAGGATTCTATCTAAAATGCCAGTGCCAATCAGTGCGTATGACTCGAAGGAAGCAAATACGTCAAGGCCGTCCCTAAAGTTCCTTGCTCGTTTCCTGTAATCGCATTATGAATTATGACACAACATTCGAAAAGTGCGCTTTTAATCAGTCCAAAGATATCTTAGGATACAATCTATTCCACAATTTTCTACAAAACTTCCGTTGCATATTTTTTTTCTCCATTTTACCTTGTATCAATTTTAACCCGGCTTACACAGAAAAGAGAAACAGGCACTGCTGGTGCGCTTATTACAGGGGGACCTCCATACTGCAATCTTCTGTAAGCGTGATCATAAAGTGGTCACGCTGATCATCGATAGCACTTTGTTCCATTGTTTGCTCAATTGTTTCTTCCCCTTCTTGAACCCAAAAGGACTGGGTCTGATGTCCTGTAGTCTCATTATCCTTTTGCTCGGCGTCTAACTTTGGAAGAAATGGTAGACAGGCGTCCAACATCCCGTGCATCTCCAGAAACGTCTGAGGGAAAATGAAGAAAAAAATTGTGAGGAAACTTAACAGAACAGCGAATTCAGGTAGGATCTTACTGTTTCGATCGTCTTGTCAAAATTTGCATGTCTATTTTCGTTCTTATTTGAATACTTTCAAAGGCTAATTTTCCGGGGTATCGGCTGACGTCTAAGCTCAGCTGAATGAATAAGGACTGCTCACACTGGCAGCATTTTCTTGTCCTTACTCAGTGCCGTTAGGGTAATACACGGGGTACATAGCCACTCCGGCCCAAAGGGATGTATACCTAGCTTTCCCAATGAAAGCAAAACAAGTTTTGACAGCGAAGCCACCAGTGGAAAAGGAGAGAGAGTTTCGACTTTGTTCATCCAACTCCGGTCGCTGAGGATCATTTTTGCCTTTTTGCGTGCTCTTAAGTAATTGTGCGCGGCGGTTGCCGTAATGGAGCTAAACGTCTCATAGTTAAAAGGTCACGCCATACCCAAAGTTCGTCAAACCCTTTCATCTGGTGAGATGCTACATATTGTGCCGACGGTATATCAGGATGTGCTTGGTGAAAAAGTTGGACAAGCTGTGTTGCATTTTCCAACCTGTAAGGAAGAAATAACAGCCAATAAGAAAAGATAGATTTAAGTGTACAGCTCGTTGGCATACTTTTTTCATTTATCTTTTGGTTGGTGGTAACATCAACATATAAACAAGAATTTCTTCCCTGACAGCGAGGGCGAACTAACTCTTACCTAGAATGGAAATATCTAGATTAAGGGCTGAAAGGTCTACTTCACGAACAGCAATGCAGCGAATGAATTAGTTCAGCCCTTAGTGGATACACATCAATACAAACATTTCAATCCCCAATCTTTAAACATTTGCTGCAATAGGTTAATGCGCTAAAAAGAGAGACGTTTGACACGAAGGAAGAAAATTATCAAATAGGAGGAACAATCAGTGTTTGATTTACCACCAAGTTCTCGGAGCTAACACGATGAGAAAAGTATGGTGAAAGTTAAAAAGAATTTATGTAAAGGTACTGGAAACGAATGGATTAGACACTTTTTTACGGGCTTTTCTCCAGAAGTGGAGTGGTAGTTTTTGGACAAGATGACACATCAAGTATGAAGTTTTCACGATTTTCCGTCTGCACAGCCAAAGCAGACTTGTCAAGTAAAACTGAACTCGCCAGTTTTCTTTTTCCTTTTTTCCAGAAAACCGTACTTTTCAGTGAGAATGGGGGTTTACACACACCACAGGATCTTGTTGTTTTATGTTACTGTTACCGTGTTTACAAAATCAAGTCATCAAGTCCTCATTGTCCCTTTATATTATTTCCACTCAATAAAGTTACTTGGAGTACTATATTAATTACCTGCTAGCTTGTATTGTCTTGAGTAGAATTCCGTTTATATTTTTGCCCATGATGAGGAATTTAAGCAACTTGTCAAAATAAGCTGTACCGAGGAGTATCTACAGGCAAGACAAGAAATTTCGAGAATTAAAGCCAATATGGGATGATCCTTTAAAAAACCCTTTTCACTAAGGTGTCGCGTCACTAAAACTCACAGCATCATTCCTTTGTGAGGTTCAGGTTATGAGGGCTCACCGGTAAATCCACTTCTAATAAAGTTATGAGTAATGATTCGTTATTGGAGTGCACTTGGAATTGTGGGAACTAGCAGAATCGTATCTGTTTCTTACTTGATACTCTTGTTTTCGTTCGACATATTTAAACACTTCCTGTTCCACCTATAGATGATAAGAATGAAAAAGAAATCTGAATAAGAACACAGCCTAACGAATCGTCGCCAATGTTATTGTAGCTGCAGGATACAGCTTTTTGCACTTTTTGGTAATTCTGTTTGTCTAGTAAAGAAAACGTTTATCACGGTTATGCAAATAACAGAAAAAAAAAAAAAACGGAAAAAAATCCCGCAGACGAGTAAAATAAACATTAGAGAAAATAATAACAACCAATGAAGAAATGATCCTCGTGCACTGCATTTAAGCAATCGAACCCAGGCCTCCCAGATACTAGTTGGGCGCTACTATCAACTGAGCTACAAAGCCTCCTGTTGGGAACGAGGCAAATGTTAGGGGTTTCTTGTTTCCGTATGGGAATCTTATCACAATTTTTTAAAATAAATTTCAACAACAAAAGAAAAAACAGTCGCAATAATAACAATTGCTTACAGCATCAGGTTGGATTAATGTGTTACCTCTTTGACGTTGTTCGTCCAATTGAGCAAGAATAACATTCACACAGTTTGTCTCCAGCAATGCCTGAACAAGGGAAAAAAGAAAAAAAAAGAGAAACGCCAATTAATATGATGAGGGAGAGTTAAAAATTTCCTTCACATGACGATATCAAAAACAGTTTTGAAATAAACTCAATTCTCTGCTTTTATCCCTTCGCTCTGACGAAGGACTAACGCTTGAAACATTAGCTTTATTGAAAATATCAACTCGGTTGACAAAACCAAATTGTCGTGTAACACCCCCACCGACGCGGCACCACAGTCTTTAGAAGTTTATTCCTTCGATTCTTTTAATGTGAAGTATTTCATAAACTTACATACCATGGGTGCAGTGAAATCACGTTCCATATCAAAATTTTTAAACCGACGTGTTTCGTAAAGTTGCAAGAAAAATTTAAGAACGCCCTCTGATATCTAACCTGAATATGTTTTTCTCGCGCACTACTTAACGGGATTAGCAGGAGACAAGCCAGCGAGTGGGCCTGGAGACCAACTTTATGGAACTGCACAGCGATGGAGTACACATCAAGGTCGAGGAGGAGAGGACATCTAGAAGGAAAGATCAAACGCATGAACACAAAACACTCGATTCATTCTGTAACATCTAACTTCAATCAGGATAAAGTTGAAATAAAGCAACCAGGGGAACTACTTCTCAGACAGGACAGGGTGATAGTCTAGGGTAAATTACTAATTAAATCAGGCTTCTACAACAGTTTGATGGTAGCCATTTAAACTCTTGGGTAAGAGAGGCATCTTAAAGAGTCAAGTGACTTGCCTAAAACTTAACATAATGTCGACCCTTTTGAACTGGGGTAAAGCGTTCATGGCAATGACCCATTGCGTCTCAAAAATACTTCTTCTGAAATTTGTGTTGTGGAAACAATTGCTTTCTATGTGCAAAAGGTCGGCTTCAACCTCTGAAGGGTGAAACCTTACCCGATTATTGAGCATCACTTAAGAAACGCACAATACTACCATGTGCAAGGAAACATTTATTTCAGAGAGGACCCAGTGAAAAGTAAAGGGATGACCATGCCAATAAGAAACCCCGGTTTACGAAACAAACTTATTCTTATTTACCTCTGCAGTAGCGATGCAGATTCTTCACAAGCAGCGACCTCCTCCTCAGATAACGGTGTCGAAACTATAGGAGAAAAACAAGTTCGAGACATATAACCGTTTGGTGACACACGGTACATGTATTGCAAAGCTAAAATCACAGGACTGCTTCCTCGAATACCCTTTGCAACAGAAAAAGAAATATATACCATCGACAAACTACTCTGGTTCAAAAGGCAGAGAAGAATGTCAAAGGGAGAAAAGGGGTTGCCAACTTGACCTGTGGATCAGATAAAATTAAATCACGTCAATTTCTTTTCTTGGGCCTCAGAACCGAGAACGAAAATAGCACATCCATTTCGCAGAGTTAAAACTGAGAGTCACTAAGAAGCTTTAGCATATGAATGGCTTCATCAGGGGAAACCTAAGCGATCACAACAGTTTATATGCCTCGCTTAGAGCTCTGCACTAAAATATGTTTTCACCACACACCTGATTTGAAGGGGGCTATTAACACACTTCTCCACACTTGAGGCAAACAGCGAACCTTAGAAGTTCAAACGTAGAGCTTAGCAATAACAAAACGACAGGGTAGGGTCAACTTTTGTGAACTGCGAGATACATCACAACAAACGTTTACCTGCCACAGGTCAGAAATCCCAGCTAAGTTAACAAGAACTCGACGAAGATATTTTATCTGAAAAAAGTTGAAAGATTTTCAGATGTAGCCACTGTATTGCTGAGCTATTCATGATATGTTAATCAGCAATTAAAAGCCAGGAAACTAGATTGACAACACGAAGTCGAGGAAACAGAGAACTGAAAAAGTTTGCTATCATGTTGGACTTGTTCACTTTGGTTTTTCTTTTATTTTGTACTTTCCCATATGAGAAATGGTGTTAAGTTTTCAAACTGCATTCTAAGAAAAAAAGGAAAGAAACCAAACGGCTGGAAACAGTATATTGAATGATTCGCGTCATTTTCTCCGGAAATTACAAGCAAGCCTCAATTTATTTTCCCCGACCCAGTTTGTCTGTCTTGTTTTCAAATCAGTCGTGCAAGAGCTGTGATAGCCTAAATTACTCACCATTCCAAAAGCTAGAAGCTGCTGTAGAACACTGTTCCACAACTGAGGATCATGTATATTATTGTCTAGACACAAGTCCGCAACAAGACGTACAGCCTGAGAGCGAACAGATAGTGATAAAAATTACAAAGACGAACGGCGGCAGAAATGGATGGATGAAGCATTGGTAAAATAATGTAATGAATACGATGATTAAGAACTGCACAAACAAATAACCAGTATGCACTTCGATATTGCTCAATTGACAACATTGGCCGACAACATTGCTAACATTAGTAGCAAGGCATGAAGACCTTGCCCCACTACATCGGCAAACATCATCGGCCAACAACTTTGTTACGTAACTATTCATATTCTGATACAGAAGTTAAGAGGTTCGGATTTACTTTCTTCTACTTTTATATCCCTTTAAATCTGTTGAATGTGTTTCAATATGACAGCACTCACCTTCTTCTCATGCTTATGGTTTCTCCACAGTCCTCGCACCAGCCCTTCTTTGTTGCATTTGTCAAACGCGCTCGCTGATTGCTGTATGTGTAATCCTTCAAGCTCCGCGAGACAAACAAGAGCCTGCATCTGTTGTCTGCCAGCGGTACACAAATTAGAAATTATGTCGTGTAATGAGTAGGTGCCCTTCGAATGAGTTAAAGTTCTGTAATGGGGGTTCAAATGAAAATGGAAGAAACTAATCTTTGATCATATTCGGTTCACTGTGGTACTTGGCAGATGGAGAGAGTGACCACGGATTTCACATGAAACAACTAAGCTAAATTAGCCAATTTCCAGCCCAAAGTGAAGACTTAAAGGAAAGAATATCGAATCGTATTCACCACTGAGAACGAACAATGATAGAATTCGTCTCCCTGACGAAGAAACACTTTTCCCCATTTCATTTGTGTGGGTAGCTGCGAGACGTAACTTTTAAGGCTTTTCATCCTCAGCTGATTTTTTACCCTACCTGATCACACTAACTGAAGTTTTGCACAGTTTTTCAATAAATTCTCCTGGGGCGATGGCGAAAAGAGTTCGGAGCGCACGAAGACGACAGGTACTCGAGGAACCATTCTGGAAAAGTTTCAAAAGAAGGTCACCAGTGTGTGTTCAGAGGCTTTCAGGTTACTCATATCTATACAAAATACTTCAGATTTTGGCATCAAGCAAGTATGCATGTTTGTCACATAAAAACCTAGAACATGGCCTTAAGATTTCCGTACAGATGTGGAAATGCTAACCAGTAATAGAAAGACGACGGTTTTAATTCTGATGATAAAATATTTTCTTCCTTGTTTTGAGCTTGAAAGAGACGATTTAATTACCCTTCCTTGAATCTTACCTTGTTTGCAAGATTAAGAAGGAATGTAACGGCTGTTTGTTGGTCTCGGCTGCTTTCCATGATGTAAATAACCCTGGAAGAGAAAACATCAGACTTATGATCAATATGGATGGCAAGATGAAAAACTACAGCGCTTACAATATGGAGCTCAGACGAAACGAGGATCATTACCTTGTATGATTTAGTGTGCGCAAGGTGTGTGGGGATAAAATAATTGATGGGTAGCTTCAAAATTCAAGAGATAAGTCGAGAAATTGAGTAAAAGCGAGCTAAATCTTACAGTTTATTAATCAGAGGCAATTTTCCATATTAGACATGCAATGCAAGATTTAAGTAGCTGATAGCTAATTTAGCAGAATTCGTATGTTTATATACCTTTTCAAGTTCTACTCGTCTTCCTCATTTTCATAATTTTCCTCACTCACAGGTGAGATCAACTGAAGATCAAGTTTTCATTGGTAAATATCTAACTATTACGTTTTAAATCTAAAAAGGCGTAATTTTAAGTGTGAACATGTTAGGTGATAGGGTGACTTTTAGCCAATTTCCAAGCGTGATTCCTCGACCAATTATCACTATTATTAAATTTCTTTTTTTTTTATTTTTTTTTTTTATCACAGCAAAGGACTTCAGCAGCTACTAGCTGCAAGTTGAGAAGCGCTTTGAATAGTTTCAACGAAAAAGGAGTTGTGGCGAACTTCGAAACAAGCGGAGGCTAGATGTTACAGTACCCAAATTCGCGCAACATTCAACTTTAAGGTTAAATTCTCAACGTTGGACTTCGAGCAAAGAAGTTCATGTCTCGGTAATAGTACGGCACTAAGCGTCTTACTGCACTTTGTACTAAAGGTTCTTTTTGACTGGCTATACCATTGTTTCAGTGAGTTATCTACCAGTAAGAAAACATACCATGTTTACCATTAATTGAATATATATCAACTCATCAAGGTAAATGATGCTGACTTTCTAAGCTGTCTTATCCAACAGAACATGCAACACTCAAAGTAAGAAAGTTCGTTCTCAGATTACCTCCGTGTCCCCCGATGTTTGAGCTGAAGAGGGCAACCATTTCTGACAACAGAGAAAACAGCCATTGCAAGATCTGAGCAATTATCTTTAGAAACACAATGTTAGATTACTGGTGCTTACTTCAAGCGTAGTACTAAAAAGTGTAGAGGGCATTGAATGGGTTCATTACTTCTTCTGCTGATTCGTTTTTGTTCGTGTGTGAAGCGTTCATCCTACCTCAATTAAAAAGAGCCTGATCTTCTCTATCTTGGTATTGTTCACAGTTGCGATTTCCTCTGCAGTTTTGTGGATGTCTATAAAAATAATTTATGAGCATTTCAATTTGGTTTTTACAAACAAAAAAAAATCGTAATCTAGGTAACAAATTAGGCGAAAATCAGTAACTGAGGGCTCACATAGGGCTCAATCCTTCGACAATGATCTTCCGAAGAAGTCTCCAGCTCGCCTTCGAATGATAAATCACAGATATGGCTCCCTTAAGGAAGCAGAAAAATGTCCATCATAACCGGAACTGAAGGCTATTGGGAACGATCCTTTGAGCGGCCTCTGGTATTAAAATTGAGTGGCATCAAACGAACAACTACCAATCTAGACACGCTTCTCATTTGGCTCGGGGCTTACAGGTAATGGTGAAGACATATTTAAAAGAAAAACGGAGATTTTCGAGGCCACCGTAAATAAACGCCAATTGTTCACAGAGGAATTTGTTTAAGGAGCTTCTTTGTCGATATTTTGCAGAGTTAGCACTAGTACCTGGCGGTTGGTGAGCAGTGCCTGGTTCCCTAGCTCCATATTTCTCATACAGCTGACAAACAAGTTTAGCCGGTTTACTTGTTAAAGGAGCAATGGAAGGGTCCACAATATTATATTTGTGAAGCACATGTTCAGTGGCCACGCCCCGACACAGCTCTAACAAGCGGCTATGGGTGAGTTTGGCCTTCTCTTCATCCTGAAATAAATCAAAAGCAGCGATAGAGTGCAAGGGTTTTTGAAGATAAGATAGGCATTCCCGGTCTACGACAGTCACAATACTATAATCATATTTTAAGACTTGAAGTTTTTCCGAGGAAAACTTAGGAGACAAATTGATCTTAAATAATGTGTTTACCTTTTCAGAACACTCTGATTTCCAAGCCTTTGCAAGGTCAACACAAGTCTTCAGCATAACTATTTTCTCCTCACCTATAGGAAGGAGGCCAGACGAGAAAAATATTAAGGTTCCCTCTGTCCTCAAACCATAAACATTAACGAGACTAACACATCGAGATGAGTTCTACAGGCCTAAACAAGAAGAAAATCTGGTCGGATGAAAAATTTCTGAGATTCTGTGATGTTTGAACTCGGGTTCAAAATTACGAAAACAAATTGGGACCAGTTTGAATTTTTGCGACTTTGTTTCTCCATGTCTCACGAAGCAAACTGTTGCTGCGACTTCTCGCATTGTGCTTACGCC